GGATAAATACGGATGTAATTTGGCTTTTTTGACTGATGTGCTGCCTACAGTCTCTCTTATTTTGGTCACGGTAGCTGAGTTGGGAACAAGGAAGTCTAGAGATGGTGTGAACACACTTGGCATTGGGGGGTTGACTGGTGTCTGCTGATTTCGGAGAGGAGCTGTAAATTCCTGCAAGGTTAGGTTAAAGTCCCTTCATGCACCTATGTTGACCTCCATTTTGCCCTTGACATAGTGACTTTATTTTCTTTTGGCTTTAGAGAGGTTGACAAATTTCTGAGAGGGTCAAAGACTCAAAGGGTCTAGATACTTCCCAGCCAGAATGCCTATCAAGCCAAAGTCCAGCATTACCACTGAAGTCATCTAGTGGAAACTCCAATGCTATTACTGCATTGCATTGACATGAATGATACTGAGGATATTACAACCCCACCAGAGTTACCCTTGAAGAATCAAAGTCTTGGGCTGCTCTGTTGCCAGAACATCTAAGTGTTTCCACCAACAGTTGCTGCCTGCAGTCATGCATGATGCGCTGTTTGACAAAATTGTGTTAGGTGATGATCAGGAGACAGACTGGGACTCAGGAGGGTCATGGTGGGAAACACCATGGTGTTTGGAACTGTGATGGAATTGTCCAGAACTTGGCTTTTTAACCTGGAGTCCTCGCTAGGGGGTCTGAGGATAACATGCAGGTGATAACATGCAGGGTATGCGTCATACGTGTAGACATTACATTTCTTAAAAAATTTAATTAATTTATTTAAAAAATTAATATAATAGTTTATTTTTACATCATTTTGTGCATTTTTCCATCTCAGTTGTAATCCATTTGGGCTTCCCATCACCAAATCACCCATGCGCCATTACCAAAGTCCAGTGCATTTCCCTCCCCCCACTGTTTTTGAACCCACTCCCCACTCCACCCCCCACAAAATGTCTCTGGTATATGGTTGTTCATTATTCTTGTTATTTTCTTCCTGGCCCATTATACTCCTGCTATGAGTGAAACCATCTGGAATTTTTCTTTCTCCTTCTGGCTTATCTCACTAAGCATGATCTTTTCCAGCTCCATCCAAGTTGCTGCAAAAGACATGTGTTTCCTTTTTTTTTGGTTGCTGAGTAATATTCCATTGTATATATATACCACATCTTTTTTATCCAGTCATCTACTTTTAGGCATTTGGGCTGCTTCCATGTTTTTCCAGTTGTAAATAAAGCAGCAATAAACAGTGTTTCTGTGTCTTTTGGGTAGATACCTAGGAGTGGGATTGTTGGGTCGTAGGGAAGCTCCATGTTTAGCAGTTTGAGGAACCTCCAAACAGTTTTCCATAGTGGTTGTACTAGTTTGCATTCCCACTAGCAGTGCAGGAGAGTTCCTTTTTCTCCACATCCTTGTCAACATTTGTTGTTGTAGTTGTTTGAAGATGTGCCATTCTCACTGGGGTGAGGTGGTATCTCATTGTGGTTTTAATTTGCATCTCCCTTATTACGAGTGATGTTGAACATTTTTTTCATATGCTTGTTGGCCATCTGCATTTTATCCTTGGAGAAGTGTCTTTGTAGCTTATCTGCCCATTTGTTGATGGGGTTGTTTATTTTTGTTGAGTTTCATCAGCTGTTTGTATATCTTTGTGATCAATCCTTTATTGCTAGTTTTGTGTGAAAATTTTTTTTCCCAATCAGTGGGATGTCTGTTTGTCTTTTATAATGTCTCTTTTGTTGTTCAGAAGCTCTTTAACTTGATGTAGTCCCATCTATTTATCCTTGCCTTCTCTATCGTTGCACTGGGTGCTCTATCTTTAAAGATGTCGCTGAAGTGCAGGACATTACATTTTTATTTTCACTAACCTCCAATTGATATTGAGCATTTTCTCAATATGGATAACTACGGGCAACAGATTACAGCAGTTTCTGGGTGTTTGTCACCAACAGAAATCTCAGAAATCTTCCTATCACCCTCAGTTTCTGCAGGTATTTTAAAACATTTTTAGCATTTTGTTGTACTTCAAAATGAGGATGGATCAGATCTCACTCTCAGATATTATTTCCATTTATTTGGTTTCCTTTACATTCTTATAAAATTTATTTTATGTATTGAAAAATATTATTAAACAGAATTCACTAGACTCTAGCAAAAAAAAAGGTAACTGCATAAAAAGATTTGGTCCCAAATCCAACTGTCTTCAAGGGCCAGCTGGTGGCCTGAAGACTAGGGCCTGTTTGGGTTTTCCTACTTTGGAAGGGAAGAAAGAATTCCCCTTGCTTTTAACACTACTTAAGCTTTACATTAAGAAGTGTCAACTAAGCCTTGCTTCCAGGTAGGAAACAGTGGGGAGCTGGGAAGATTGTGGTGAACTGGGGCCTGTGCCCAGCGGCTTCTTGCTCCAGTTGACAGATAAACTGGAGAAATGGCCTCACTCTCTGCCCCATGAGTGCCCTTTGCCACCCAACATTTGTCTTTGCCATTCCTTCCACCCTTTCTTCTTTCTCCCTGCTTGACGACCCATTCTTCATCTGAGGCCTGGCTTCAGTGTTACCACCTCTCTCTTCTTCTGTGCTTGTCTACCTCATGCCTTTCCTGGTAGTTTCCAGAGTCCTTGATTCTGTTTCAGCACTTAACCCATTGATTCAAATACACTGTGGTTTGGGGTCTGTGTGTTCCATCCACATTTCACTCCTGGCTATCCCACCTTGTTTTTTTTTTTTTTTAATCTTTCCCTCTCCAAGTCTGCCTCAGGCTTGGCATATATAAAAAGTACCTAAGTGATGTTTGCTGAAGCACAGGGGTTAAAAGTAGGAAGTCTGAGTCAGGCTGCTTGGATTGAGAACCTGGCTTTCCCACTTTCTGTGTGACCCTGGGCACAATTTTTGACTTTCCTGTGCCTATTTGCTCCTGTAAGATGTAATTCTCATATCAACCTTTATTGTGAAGAGTAAGATTAAACAAGTTATACTCTGAGCACTCAGAATACTGTGTAATATTCAGTAACCCTCAATAAAGTGCATGTAATGTCAATATTATCATTATTAAACACTTGTTACTAGATTCTCACATCTGTTTTTACTTAATTTTTGAGACTTATTTATTTATGCATACAAGAACTGGGCTACAGTTCAAGGTATGGGTATGTGTGTGTGAAGATTCACCAGAGACACAGTGGGGAGCAGAACAGGTGGATCCACTGAAATACACTGCTGAGGCAAGCAGCGGGTCGAGACAGGAGAGGTCTGTTGGGCTATGTGGGTCATATAGCTGGGGATTGAACTCATGCAGCAGTGGCTGGTGATAGCATGACAGCACTGAGCCTTTAACCCCTGCCCCACCAGAGAGGTCTGTCATCATCTGTTTTGTACACTAACACATCTTTAGTGTCAAGTACAGTTTCTGTGGGCATTTAATATTTACAGAATGAATGAAAGAATGAGAGCCTCCTCTCCAGTCACAACTGCCCTAAATCGGCTAAATCAGGGGTTTTGTAGAAGTTCATGGGTAGATCAAGGACACAACCCTTGTTTGTATCTCTAGGGAAGCAGTCCACAGAAACTTCAGCATCACAGGTGAAAGTAAATTGGGAAGGTAAGTCTCCAAGGCATGAGTACCAGGAATAACCTCTTTTGCTTTGTTTTATTCGATACTTTCTAATTGCCTCCATCTGGAGAGGATGATTAGCATGCAGTTACAGTTAATTTGATTTTCACCTTTCACTCTTGTACTGGACTGGGAGTAAACAGATTTCAGAAAATTGCAGTGTTTACTGTGTGACAGCACGGATCTGGTTGCCAATCAGGTCTGGCCCTAAATTGCTCTACAATTCTGCCTTGCATTTGCCTGAGTCTCACTTACCTGTAAAACAGATTTTTTTAAAGAGTTATTTATTTATGCATACAGAACTGGGGTACACGCCAGAGGTGCAGGGGGTGAGAGGATTCACCAGAGACAGCGTGGGGAGCAGAAGAGATAGAACGACGAAGTACACTGTTGAGGGGAGCAGCAGGCAGGTCAGGAGGCGTCTGCTGGGTTGGTGCTCTTCTGGCCAGGGATCGAACTCGGTGCTACATCGCTTCATAGTGCTGTGCTTTAACCTGTTGCGCCACCAGGGAGGGCCCAAATGGAGAATCTTAATTTTCTTCACAAGATGGGAACGCAATTTGTTGTGTATTTTTGAAACCACTTAGGTCCTTCTACAAACATCAATTACTGGACCTCAGTGTGTTCCTTATCCCCTTATCAGTAAAAAGCTTGGGTGGGTGGGGGGGGGCTCTCCAATCTCGGCGCACTCTGAGGCACTGGAAGCCCGGGCTGTCCAGGCCTACGGCTAGTCAGGGGCAAAACTCGGAGGGTTCGGGTGAGGAATCGGGCCAGAGCAGGGCACAGGGGGCCGGGAAAAACGCCATGCTTTTAGGTCAAACGTCACAATCCATAAATCTCACTAAGGACCAGGACGACGCAAGTCTGAGACGGGGTAAAGTGAAAAGCCAACCGTGGGTGGAGAACGTTAGAGCCAGATGAGGGCGGTTGGCAGTCCAAGGGATGCCCTTCTGGTGCAGGGAAGGTGGCCGGAGGGCCGCAGCCCGCCCTAGGGAGTGAAAGTGGGGCCCAGTGAAAGGGGCCAGCCGTAGGAATTTCGGTTCCCGCCCGGCGACTCCCGGTTTTGACTAGAGTTCCGTCCGCGGGCGCTCCGGGCCCCTCGCGCCGCCCCCAGAGGTTTTATCAGATCGTACCATTACGCTCCCGTGGGGGTGGAGGGAGATCTCGGGTTAGTCTCACAGACAGAACCGGCTCTATTTTCTATGAAAAGTTGATTCCATAAATTATTTACAAGGTGTTTCGTTGATCTAATTCCCGGTGTCTCCTCGAGCGCTCGACGCGGCCTGGCGCGGGGCAGGCGCCGCGCCGCCCCCCTGTGCTTGCCGCACTTGGTGCGGTCCTCCGCGGTGCGTAGGCGGGGAGGCGTACATAAACCTCGACGCAGGAGGCGGGGCCGCTCAGTCCTCGCGGCGTCGGTGCTCTGTGTTGGTGGAACCTTGTTGCTTGTCGGCCTGTGCGCGCGTGCGCGGACATGGCCTCAAACGGTATGTAAGGGCGCGTGGCGGTGGTGGCGCGCCAACCCGGGGCCTCGTTCCCTCCCAGCTAGACTTGTTTTTCGGTGGGACTCGGGCGGCAGTCGCGTGTAGGACCTTCTCGCTGTGGCGGGAAGCAACGGAAAGGGGTGGAAGGGGTTGGCTGATGTCGCCATTTTGTTTTGCTTCTCTGGCTCCTCGCGCGGGGTAGGCAGGGCTTCCCTTCGCCGTCCCATTACTTGAGGTGCGGGTTGGGAGGGACGCCTCTTGGTGATTTGAAACGTGAGGCACAGATGGAAATGCTCGGTCCTCGGAGTCTCTTCTCTCCCCCCGCCCCCCCCAGCGTTCCCAGACCCGCTCTCGGGCCCGCTTTGTCGCAGTGCTGCATCCGGGCACTCGGTACGCGCACGCGCCCTCCTAGCCCCTCCCCCCTTTCTCGCGTCTCGTAGCCCCCTCCCGCCTCGTGTTGGCTCTGCTTTTTGTCGCGAGACCCTCGGCTGAAGACTCCGCGGCGCGCGTCGGGTGTGGGCCTCGCCGCCTGGGTCTCTCGGGAAGGGGCGGGACCGGCTGCTTCCCGCCTCGGTTGCCACGCGGCCGGGGGCGGGGGCTCGGCGTCGGGGTCGCGCGCCCGCCTAACGGTTAGGGGTGGGTTTGGGGGATCATTCAGTGGACTTGGAGACGGAGCGCGAGGCGTTTCCCGCCTAAATTTACAATTTCTGAGGTGGGAACCGAGAGGAACGGCCGCCCGAGGCCACACCCTCTCCCGGTGCTTGGGCCCTTTCCTGCGGGGGAAGCGCTTGGCTTCCTGTACCGTGGGAGAGGAGTCGCTCTGGCGTCTTCGCTGTGGTGTAGTGAAAGCGCTTCGGCTACCCTGGGCGCACCGGCCTCCCCACAGCTCCGAGGAAGGCGAGGTGGATGAGGAAGTGACCTCCGCGTGGGGAGCCAGCCGTTGCGCGAGGCTTGGGCATCTGGTGACGGGCCGCCTTAGAGTAATTGGCCCTTGATCGCCCTTGCTGGGGGTGATGGGATTCTGTTGCTTGCGTGGCTTTGCCAGTCTCCGAAGTTGTCAAGAGGTGGAAAGATGGTCTCCTTGGAGGTGTTCGCCTTCTTTGGGTCTTTGGGTTTCGGTTGACCAGAGTGGAGGCCATATTCCCAGCACGGCCGCTTAGCTCTGTAACTTTGGAAGTTACTGTCGTGACCTGGTGATGCTGCCCTCACCGTGTGGAAGCGAAATATGTGCAAATGCATGCAGTTTTGGCCTGACTTGAAATAGCAGAGAAGTGTGTGTACCAATACTCTTGGTTTTCCCACTAGTTAAGGTCCCTTCGTTTCTGTAGAAATGTGCTTTTTTCTTTATTGCTAGACGACTTGGAGCAGCCAACTAGTGTTTTCATGGGGAGTATTTCTACCCTTTCTTGCAACATAATCTTGTGTGTGTGTTTAATCTGACCTTGAGCTTTTCAACTCTTAGAAATGCCTTAAGGTAATGGGATTGTATTTTTCTTTTGCAGACTATACCCAACAAGCAACCCAAAGGTGAGTGTCATTTCTGAGCTCCTAGAGTTTGTAGAGGATAAGGGAGCCTAAGGTAACTTTCTGATTACACTGATTTTCTTTTTCTGCAGCTATGGGGCCTACCCCACCCAGCCTGGGCAGGGCTATTCCCAGCAGAGCAATCAGCCCTATGGACAGCAGAGTTACGGTGGTTATGGCCAGTCAGCAGACACTTCAGGCTATGGCCAGAGCAGCTATGGTGGTTCTTATGGACAGACCCAGAACAGTGAGTCTTTCAGTGGATGAAATTGCCTTTTCCTGCTTTTTGTAAATGTTACCTTAAAAATAATCAGTTCACAAATGTCATTTCTTTAACTATTTTCCCTTAGTCTGTAATTCTTACAAAGGCCTTGAAATGTTCATTGTTTCAAACAAAAATACTCATTGTTTTGTGATTCTGCATCCCTTTCTCTTTTTTTCCCTTTTTATTATGTTGTATTTCCTTCCACATGAAAGTGAAATGTGTGAAGGGGGAGTAGGCATAGTCTCTAGAAGGGAAAGGTGTAGGCTTTTGGTATTTAAAGGGGGGGTTATTTGCTTGAAGATAATTTGAAGTCAGATTACTACATATGGCAGCAGCACACCAGGAGGTGGAGTTTTGAATTGAAAGCCTGAACTGTACAGACCCGTTGGCTGTAGGGATCTCTAGGGCTGTGTGGTGGTGGTCTTGGATGCTGAGATGAGGTAGAAGCTCTGAAGTTGGTTGAAATTGGAACATGAGCCTTAGAAGACAAGGGTAGCTTTGATTATGATTTAGAAGATTTACTAGCAGTTTTTAAGAGGTTGCCTTTTCAAAAGTGTGGGTGAGTATTCGATAGTATAGTAGGCAGTGCTTTCTTCAGCTCATTCTCAGCCTTTTTTCTTTGCTGCTTTTGTGACTTCTCTTTTCCTTGTAGCAGGTTATGGCACTCAGTCAGCTCCCCAGGGATATGGCTCAGCTGGCGGCTATGGCAGTAGCCAGAGTTCTCAATCGTCTTACGGGCAGCAGTCCTCCTACCCTGGCTATGGCCAGCAGCCAGCTCCTAGCAGCACCTCGGGAAGGTAAGCAGTTGTGTGGGGCTGGGGCGCCTAGAAGGTAAGAGGTAAATGCGGAATGATAATTAGCAGGATTAAGAACAAATATGAAGAGTAAGGGGGAGGGAAGGTTGTTTTGGTAAAGAAGACGGGACGGAACTTTTTGGACATGTTGACATTTTGTTCTTTTTTTTCCTTAGTTATGGGGGCAGTTCTCAGAGCAGCAGCTACGGACAGCCCCAGAGTGGAGGCTATGGCCAGCAGTCTGGCTACGGTGGACAGCAGCAAAGCTATGGGCAGCAGCAAAGCTCCTATAACCCCCCTCAAGGCTATGGACAGCAGAACCAGTACAACAGTAGCAGTGGAGGTGGCGGAGGGGGTGGTGGAGGTGAGTAGTGGCTTAAGTATTGTCTTCTCTCTGTCATTTTCTATATGGATCTGTCCACCTTTAACATAAAGATTCTTTAAAATCTTGTTAATTTTCTAGCTATCCTTTGATTTTCTTTCCCGTTATGGTCTTACTGTTGCACTCTTCTGTGTCATGTTTCAGGGTTTTTTTTTTTTTTTTTTTTTTAAAAGCATCCCTTTTTTCCTGACAGGTAGCTATGGCCAAGATCAATCCTCCATGAGTGGCGGTTATGGCAATCAGGACCAGAGTGGTGGCGGTGGCTACGGGGGAGGCCAGCAGGACCGTGGGGGCCGCGGCCGGGGCGGTGGCGGTGGTTACAACCGCAGCAGTGGTGGCTACGAACCTAGAGGTCGTGGAGGTGGCCGTGGCGGCAGAGGCGGCATGGGGTAGGTGTCTAGTGAGCTAGGGTGTATCATTGGTGGGGGAGTGTGGAGGGTTGCATGATATCCCGTAAACCCCAGTCCCTTAGTGCATGTTTAGTCTTATTCTAGAGTTTTGCGGGGACTTGGATTTTTGGTGGGAGGCAGTGACTGTTTCTTCGTACATCCCCATTTTATTTTTGTGCGAACTTGGGAGCCTGAACTCCCACCCAGACCTCTCTGAGTTGAGATTTGAGTATTCACACTTATTTTCAGAGAAAAAGGAAAAATATATGGGTGTGTATGGATTGGAGTCATTGATGTGTCCTAGGCAAGAAACATGGCAGTAAAGCTTCTTTCTCTACAAAGTGAAACCGATGATCCCACTCCTGGGAAATAGGGAGCCTTGTTACTTGGATTCCCATGTGTCCTCTAAGGGAGTTGTTAATGGTTATCTGACTTCAGCTTCCAGGAATGGCTGCTCTTCCTGTATTTTGTAGTCATTTGAGTCCTTGAGTTTGATTTGCACTAATTTGATTGACAGTAATGATTTTATGTGTGTGACTTGGTTTATGGGGCTATCTTGATGGAAGTGTACAGACTATTTGTATACATCAGGCTTGACAGTGGTACCCCACTTATTTGCTCCACTGTCTCCCTTCCCCTGGTTACTTGGCCCAACTGGACCTTTTCTTCTTTCTGCTGTAGTTGATTTGGAAGTAGTAAAATCTTAGATTTGATGTTACAGCAGTCGTCAAATCTGTTTGTAAATATGATTTTGAAGGACACCCTATTCTGTCTCCCTGGAAAAGGGGAGAAATATCAGTGTGTTACTTTTTTGGGAAAAAGTAGGTTTTTTAATGAGTTTGTTTATGGTAAGTATTCAGAGGTGGGAGGGGGCAATCTCAACCATGCAAAAATGAGGACAACTCTGTTGTGTGCGTGTGTTTAATGCAAAACTTTTTAAAAGAAAAACAACTGTTATGTGACTGTTAACTTGCTCTGCATTTTATGTGCCACAGGTATGAAAGGTGACATTGCAAAATACTCCGCTCTTCTCACAGTGTAGAAGGGGTGACCCCGGGGGGTAGGGGGAGATCAAAAACAGCTCAGTAGTTAGGATAGGGCTTAGCTAAGTTTGTCTTGCTTTAAGGGGAAATTGCCTTTGGTTTTGACTTTTTATGGAATGAGGTTGGGTCTGCTTGCTGCTTTCAAAGCAAAAACCACAAATACGTGTTCAGGGCTACCCCAGCCTGGTGTGAAATGTCTTCTGGGGAAATTGGGGGTAGGGCTTTTAAACCAACTACTGGGTTGTCAGCCACTCACAACAAGAGGAAAAAACATCTACGTCGGAAGAACAACCAAGAAAAATTGGGTCTTTTTTTTCCAGAGGAAATACAGATATATAATCTTTTAAAGCAAATTCCTTAAAAACTGTGTCTGAGAAATTGCACACGTGTGTGTGACATGCTCAAAGGTCAGACAAGGGGTGGTCAGGAAGGGGAATGTATTTTAGTAGCCACTTGTATCTTTTTCCCAAAACACCTACCCATGTTTGGGGAATGTTAAACAAAATCAAAAACGCCCTTTTGTAGCCGTTGGAAGCTTCATGTCCTTTCTTCTAACTTGTCTTCTCCAGCGGAAGTGACCGTGGTGGCTTCAATAAATTTGGTGGTAAGTGAACAGAGTTTCCAAAATTCCCAACTCCCAGCAATGCTTTGTCTGATTGTTCATTTGCAGCTGTCTAGCGTGTTTTAAGTGTCAAAAGGTTTTGAAGTGTCCAGAACCACCTCCAGAAAGGGGTGGGGTAGAATGCCACCTGCTGCCAGATGTGTGCTAACCTGGAGGCAGGCAGGGGTAAGACTCAGTCGTCTGGTACCAAATTGGTTTGACCCAGGTTATAAGAGGTGTTTAGTAGGCCTCTGACAGGAGCGTTTGCCACATCTGGCACTTAGTATCCACCGTTATGAGAAACCTGGAGAGTGTGCTGGAACATGTGGTGCCAACTCGGCTTTAGAGTCCTTTTGATCAGTGTGTCCAAGGCCTAGTGTGTGTGTAACAACTTTCAAATGTTTTAATTCTGGAAGAGGGATGTGAAATATTGCCCTACCCTGAGGCTGGTGAAGTTGGTATATATTTATATATTAAATACTGAATGGTGTCAATGCAATTTATATATATGTACTTAAACACAACTCAGATGGGCATATAGATAACTAGCTCTGGGAAGGAAGGTGTGGACTACTTCAAGAAAGGTTGGGAGCATGTGTGGCTCATGGGAAATAACCAGGTCTTAAACAGCACAAAATGAATTCGTGGAAAATGGCAAATTTGAGAAGTCTCCCAGTAAACTGGAACTTTTCTGGTTTGGTTAACTAACAAAAAGGTTGTTTGATTTGTTTCAATGTTTAAAGCCAAAGGCTTGGGTTCATGATTTAGGTGTCATTGAGTATGGGTACAACATTTATATGTGGTGAATTCAGATAAACTTTGGTTAAAGATGGTCTCTGGAAAAAAAAAAAATAGAGGCTGCGCTATGGAAATAAGATTTCTGGTCTGTTCCCTGGGACATGCTTTAAAAAACAATAGTTACTATGTATGTTTTTTATTTTCATGTGGTTTTGGGGAAACTTAATTAACATGGTTTAAGGACGTTTGTTTCTAAAGATTAAAAATTGTTCCTCCTGGGATAAGTGTCTTTGGTGTTAAAAGTTTGGAGAAACTGGATGGATGCACATCACATTGCTGGTAGTGAGCCCATTTCTCTCGGGTGAGAGAATAGGGCCAAGCTATAATGAGTTGGTTTGTTAACTTCAATGGGTCTCCCTCCTACCCTTTCCATCACCCCCCAAATCTGTGCTGAGGACATTTCCCAGCCTGAGCTGGGGGAGGCAGCATTTTCTGAAGTGTGGAATTAATCCCTGTGGGGTCTTCCCCAACCCTGCCTAGAATTTTCTCCTCTGGGCAGGCACCCCCA